AGGGTATACAAAAAATTGCATTCTTGTTTTTAGAATATGTAAACCAAGATCTTTTAAGCTTTTTTATTATTTACTAATGTTCTGTATTACATGTCAAATGTCTGCCATCCCGTTCAATAGGACTGAGGTTTACGTTTCCTGGTTGTTTACCGGCTAATAATACTGATTGGCTGCTTAAGAAAGATTGTTGGTGATCTTTCATTTTTTTCTATGACCAGCCAACTGCATGGGTCCAACAAATCAAAAATTTTCAGTTTTTCGTCTTTCTGCTGCCCGCCCCGATTTAAATGAAGAGATTCAAATTATATCATGGTTTCGTGTCCTCCAGCTATTCGTTTGATGTCGATGAAGGTTTTAATTCCCAAATGCTGACTTGTAGATTGTTTGGGGATGATATATGCAGTCATATTTGGTCGTGCAAATTAAGAAATATTAATACCCTTTAGAATCTCAGCATAATCGGAATTGCGGCAGGGTCTGACGGTATACTTCTTCCGTAAAGTTATTTTTTCATTAGCTGAAATTGGTTTTCTCTGTTTGGCCTTATCTTTGGTTCGTTTTCTATATTCCGCATTTCTCCTGCTCAGCACGCAGATGGTTTATTTTAATTTGGTTTGAATCTAAATGAAATTCACTATGAATTGTCTTAATAAGAATAACTAAGAATCGACATAATTACACTGAACAGTCCTAAATATATGGTCGCGTCTCGCTAAATATAATGCGGCATATTAAAAGCAAGCATATCTAAAAAAAAGTAAAAAAGAAAAAAAAAAGAGTACAAAAGAGACCTGAAAACTTAAATAATAATAATAATAATAATAAATTTAGCTTTAAAATCCAAAATACGCTCCACTGTTCCGAGTCAAACCAAAGGTGAGCCTAAGTTGCCGACTGGCTGCAAAAAAATCTAAATTTCATCTTGAAAGCATAATGATGATGTCTTGTATATACTCGACGAATATTAATTTGAATTATTTCATTTGTCCAGAATAGCCCAAGGTTAATTTTTTGGGTTAGCTCTTAGAAAATAATTACAATGCTATGAAAACCAGGCGACTTCTTCAACAAGCTATCGTTATATTTCTCATTTGAATACACTCCGCCTAGACAGGAAACGATAGAGGGACTTCAGAGGTTTCTGATAGTGTCAGTCTGATTCTATCAGTGACGCCTGGAGTCCTTTTATTTGCGTCTTTCTGATCTTATATTTATAGTTGTAATCAGCTGTACTTAACTTTATTTTAACTCATGTTCCTTTAAAAGGGTACTTAGTATTTAATTATAAATCTTCTTAAGAGGTTTTTAAACTTGGCCTTAAAACTAAACATTGTAGTAAAATTAGAGAGCTCTTTTAGCGAACAACATACCAAATACGATCCAGCGTTATATTTGAACTTGTCGCCCACAAGAGTTGCCGCCCGGGACAAGAACCCCGTCTTGCCCCCCGCTAGATCCGGGACTGCGAAGTAATAGGGCGACTTTAAAGTATAAATGATTTGAAACTTAACAAAAGTTGTTAAAATGTTAATTTTCTATAAACGTTTGGGACGCATATTCTTCTGTCTTTTTATTTTTTTCTAAAATAGAATTTTCTATTTTGGTTGAATATATACTAGAATGCAAGTCTCATATGATGTAAAAAAAAAAAAAAAAAAAAAAAAAAAAGATTTTTATTTAGTGTTTGTGTTCCTTTCAATTTTCCTAAAACACGTAATTTAGTTGAGTCTATAAACTTTGGGGACAGAGTGTAGTTTACCACCACATAATCGCACTTTATGTACAGTTTATTTACCTTCTTGTTCAACATACTCAAGAATAACTTAAATCCAGTTATTTTGCTGTAAACATTCGAAGAGACATTTATTCGATAGGGGTAGTGCTTTCTGCATTGGTACCCTGTTGCTACACCATTCAGAAAAATATTTAATATCTCTAATTTGATATCTTATGATTTAAATGCATTTTTTTAAAACCAGTCCGATTAAAAAGAAAGAAAAATAGTAAGACACAATAACACGCCGAATAAATACTAATTCCGAAGTCAAACAACAAAAAATTTTGAAAATATAACGCTGATTTTTGTTGTTTGACTTCGAAAAAAGAAAAATAGCTTAAAGAATTGTGTTTATTGCTTTCAGTCACTTCGTTTGCTATTCAGTAGCATAAAATTTAATTTGAAAGTTAAACATCTTCCTGTTTATTGAATGTTAACACGCTGTTGCGTATAGAAAATAAGTATTCTATCTGAGTTAGTAACAATAAATTGTTTTCAAATACCCAACTCTGTGGATTAAAATTATTAAATTCGGTAAAATTTAAGATAATATAAAATATCTTAAATTTTGCCGAATGTCAATAGCCTGGCGCTGTGGAGATAAAAATGTTTTTATTTCGAGGCATGCTGCTACAAAACAAAAATAACAAAAATTCGTTAAATATGTACAAAATATTAAATAAATCTAAAATAAATCCAAAATTCAAATGCCTATGTTCGGGTATAAAAATTTGGTGGCTCTAGCTGCCATCACTTTCTCACAATGCGAACAACATACACACGAACATACAAATTCTTCATTATTTAGTTTTTTAAGATTAATACATCATGCTAATATTTGATGGCAACAATTTGAAAAGTGATTCGGATAAAAAGTGAGTTTTGAAACTAGCAGCGCCTCTGGTAGTAAAACTAGTATTGTCGAAAATTTAATCATGTTTCGTCGACCTGTGTTTGAAAATCTAGGCACGGCTGCTGGATGCAAAAAGAGAACTTTGAAATTTTTTAGAGACGTTATTCAACGAAGAGACTTAGAAAATTAGCTACTGATATTGAAAATCATTTAACTCAAAAAATAAAAAAATATCATTGTTTGCAATTCAAATACATGAATCAACAGATATTACCAACGAAGTCATGCTTTTACATCCGGTATGGTGATTGCGAAATTAATGAGATAAAAGAAGAAATTTTTTGCGTTGAGTTTAATTATATAACTAGTTCGGATATCCTTAAAGAGACTGAGACTTACGCTGAAAAACACTTCACATAATTGGAAAAGTTGTGTTGACTATGGCTTATGTATTGATGGAGCCACAAGTATGACTGGTAAACATTTAGGTACTGGATAAAAAAACGGAAAAGCTGCGGACGACAAAATGATTTTTACTTACTGTGTTATTCCCCGAGAGCATTTAGCTGCTAAAAATTGTCTCCTGACTTGAAGAATTTCTTTATCAATCGATATAAATAATAAATCATATTAAACACATTGCATTATATTTAAGGTTATTTTCATGCTTATTCAATGAAATGATATCTGGACATAGGAATATACTGTTTCTTGAGTTAAGAACGATGGTTGCCGAGAGTGAAAATAATTAAATTTCAAGGATTTAGAAAAGAAGTTGATTCATTTCTAGAAACAAAAATTCAGAACTGAAACATATTTTCCGTGTCAACAATTGAATTGCTAAACAGTCTTGTTAAATACATTTTCGTTAATAAATGAATTAAATGTAAGCTTACAAGGAAATAGAATTCTTTGATTTATAGAATAAAATTTGGGTATCCACGAAAATGTTAAAACTGTACTAGTGAAGATGGAAAAAAAATACGACAACGTTTCATTCATTTTGAGAACTGATAAATTATGTTGATATAAATATTGGTCAACTGAAATGCAATGCCTTTGGACACTTAAAAAGACTTTATAGTGCGTTTGATCAATATTATACACAGAAACTTCATTCTGATGAAAGGACAGGCTATATGTGGATTTTAAATATTTTCATTGAACAAGGAAATAACCTAACTAAATTGAAACAAGAAAAATTGATTATAATTAAGTTGCGGTGGTACATTAATTATTATTTAATTCAACTCACTTTCGGATTAAAATTAAAACTAAATATACGAAATTACCCAAAACAGTCTTAAACATAATACAGTCATTTTTGACCTCACTCTAATATAAATTTACATTTTAGAGTATGGCATTCAGATCAGAAACATAAGAAAGAAAGGAATTCATTACGAAATCTAGCTATTCGCTTAAAAATCACAGGTATACCTCCAAGAATTGATAAGTTAACTACTGAAAACGAATCAGAGACAATTGTTTTAGTTATTAGTTTTATAACTATGTTTCTTCCAATTATTTAAATGTTATTCTTCATTTTTCTTCCGATTTTGTTTAGTATTAGTTTAATACTTTGTTAGTTAATTTACTTTTGTATAATTCTGTCGACTATTCTACCTTTTTTTTTTTTTTTAATTATTCCGAATGGAAACTGTAGTGCATCTTCCTCTAAACGTTCGTAATGGAATGATTATGAAACCAGTTCTCTGCAATATTTCTTCTTTTCTGCCTATTACAACATTCGTTTTGAGCGTGATATCTGGCAATGCACTGATATAGTATTTTCTGAATTTATTTATTTGCTATTACTTTAATGTCTTTATTTTAAAATTTAATGAATATTAAAGAGTAAATAAATATAGTTTATACTGGTACAGCGATTTGCTATTTTTAAATTCTCATGTTAATTATTCTGAAGAAGGCATTAGGTATTTTGTAACATATGGAATGTTTTTCATTTATAACACATGATGACGATCAAAAACTGTACACAGCTTCAATTAATTTTAAAATGGTGAACATATACTAACCTCTTTCATTACCTTCTGATTTAGACTCAGCTACAAATGTTTTCGATTCGAAATTCCACATTTGCTTATAACCTGTTGCAGCAGTATTAAATTGCAAGTAAAATATTTCAATTCGCAACTTTTTCTGACTGATGAGTGAGCATTTGTTTCGTCATTATTTATGTCATTGTCAGATGATCATTGCTATGGCAACACTTAAACGTAGTTTTTATTACATCAATATGTCTTTTTAGAATTTGTGATATTTTACTGTCAATATGTTATAGTTATCAAAGTTCAAAACTCAGAAAGATAACCGTGTGGTGTAATTTCTCTTCTTATATTCCCTTAGAATATTCTAGGAATGTCCAAGAAGCAAGGCAGTGAAGAGACGCTTGTACCAGAAATGCCTTCCCCGGACTTCACTGCAGATATAGCAGTATCCGAAGGAGCTCCAGACCCGTACGCCCCCACCACTGTGAACCAAACGCAGAAATGGCGGTCGAATCCAAACAACGTTTCAAAAAATAAGCGAGAAAAAGAAGAGGCCAGAGAGAAAGAGGTGTGTGATCACCTAATCTCAGATTTAATGCTTATTATATATATATTTTATTTCTTCTATTATACGAGGAGTTATAAAACTGTATATATTACTGTAACATTTTATGGCACTTTTCGTTTCGTCTTACTATATTATTTTGTTTTTTTCCCTCCTACAGCCTTATATAGTTAAAATTATTATTAAAATGACAGAGTTGAACTCTAGCAAATTGTTGAATTTGGTTGAGAATTATTATTTTTCTTGAACGTTTTCTGATGAAGAACATATTGCTAGGATATAAGAAATGGTATTCATTTAGAAGCTGAATGCAGAAAAATCAAATGCTTGGCATTTATCAGGATCGGAGAATTGTTAGAAGATAAGCTATTACAGTTTCCTCAGAGATGACGGGGAAATTAAAAAGAACGTTTTCGATACTTTTTTTATAGTTCTTCGAATTTGCTAAAATTAGTAACTGTAACTTAAAAAAAAAAAAAAAAAAAAAAAAAAAAAAAAAAACGAATTAAGATGTGATCAAGAAATTGTGAATTTGATAGTAAAAATCAGTATAATAATCTGAATTGTTAATTAAAGTATACTGAATGATAATTGCTTATTTTTGGATTTCAAGGCGTATTTGAAAATAGTAAATTTTTTATTCTTTACAACAAAGACGTTTCGGTGCGACATTTGTAGATTTATCATAAACGTTTTGATAAAAAATATTATGCATTTTACTTTGCTTTTTAAATTGTAACAGCTGTGTTTTGGGATAAAACTTATTGGCCCTACTTTACAAGTCACATAGAAGTACGAAGCAAAGACTGAGCATTAAATGGTGTTCCATAGTTTGATGCAGAGGCTTCCAAACTGGATGTTATTGTATTCTTGAGGAAGATCTTGCAGTATCATGCTTATTGTACTGTTATTGATAATTGTAGCTGTGCTGTGCTGTTATGTATTATTATAGTACTGGTATTATTATATTTATGTATTATGCTCATTTTTCTTTGTTTCAAAGTAACTTGGAAATATTATTTTAAAACGCCGAGTACTAATGAGTACAAACTATAAAGGTAGAGCTGTTCAGTAGAGCGCAAATTATTGCCCGAAACAACAGAATGGCAGAAGGTTAGAAAATCTGAGAGTCACGTATTTAGTGCACGCTAAACTGGGACCAGAAGTAGAAGTAGAAGTTCGAGATTATCAATTCTGCTTACTTTATTCCTTTGGTTAATTAGAATTTAAGAAATCGCTTCATTTAAGAGGTCTGAACAAATGATTAATCAGTGACAGCAAAACGCATGAAGGTTATCTGAGAGAACCTGGCTTATATTTACGTAACTCAGGTACTGAGTTTTTCCACTGGCATTCAGCTGCAATAACAGTGCAGTTCTTTCAGGTTGTCAGACGAGTTTTCCAAACACAGCTGGACAAGTAGAAGTCTTCAGTTTATCTCTCAGGAAGAAGTCTGAAAAAGAACAAAAGAGAAAGGCACTTTTGCCTCTGGTAGAGGAACATGCAGTAGAAGACCATGGAGGTAGGAAAGGGGCTCGGGGCTAAAATCTCCCTGCCTCCTCCTCATGGTCCATTGTTGATTGGAGATAGCTTATAATCAACTTTGAAATGCTTCTCTTTCAAGATATCCTGCAGGTTTCTCCTACAACTGAAGCTCTGACTTCTATTTCATCAAAAATTTCCCTAAGGCTTGCTCCCTAAGGCTTCGGAAGTTCTTCAATATCTGTTTCAATAAGGTGTAATGACTGGCGGCTGCAATTTTTTATAGTATAATTTTGTACCAAATGACGCATTTATACTTAATCGTACTCTCAGAATACAAAGTGGCTTTTTTATATTCCTACATATAGATAGATATTGTTAAAAACTTGAGGTTCTTTGGAGGCCGGACCTGATCAGACGCTCGAAAAGGTTCACATTCTTCGATACGCCAATGGCAATATGTCGGAGAATCGCTGAGAATAGCTTGTAAAATTTAAAAAATTGGCTAGGTCAGGAACATGAAAGCAGTTTTTAGTGAGCAGCAACAAAAGCATTACGAAAATTCATGAACCAATGAGTTACTTATATGAGTTTTGGTGATAGAAGTCTTGAAGCTTGCGAAAACTAACGCCCTGCAGGCCAAAGAACATCGCCACACGTACGCTGCTTACGAATATTAACAAATTTCGAGAGAGAATTAAGAGTTACTTCCCCTGGTATTATGCTAAGAATATGATCTCAAAGAATAATCTTCTTCCAGCATTTTATACACAATGTATTAAGGAAAGTTTTCAGCGTTTTCGTTGTAGGCGTTTTTGAAAAAAATATTCAGTTATTCTGTCCAGATATATCTTTGCTGTTTCAGCTTCATGTCGTTGTACAATTAAATGTTTTGAACGCACCAAAGGCCACCAGTAATGGACCTAAGGAATTTGTTTTGCATCAATTGAAGTTTCAAAATGCCTCTTTCGCTGATATTCGCCGAAGCCGGAAAAAATGGGGCGGCTGATGCTTAATTAAATCTTCTCTTGCTCGCTAGGATTAATTCCGGACGACTTTAGAGAGCAGCTAATGTGACAGCGATTACATAAATGATTGGTTTAATATCAGTCCTAGGTATTTGTCTCAATACTGTAGGCAGTGGTTTGTCGAATATATGAAGCTGTTTTTAAGTATTGTCACGGTTTTGCAGACACGGTTTTGCAGTTCCTTATGTTAAGGATCTGTGGAATATCCAGTCTTGTGAGTCTGCACCACTTTCCAATCTTAGAAACCATATTTTGGAACTTTTTAATCATGTGGCATGGCCTTTCTAGTTAACTAGAGCAGTCGTATGGTAATTAGAGCAGCCTCAGCATGCTAACATAGCATTATGAACTTTATTAAACTGTGGACAGAAATTGGAAGTTGTTTACAAGAAAATTAAATGCAAGAAAGATCTCTGGACTGATCCATGAGGTACTCTATGAATGTGCTGTGGAGTTTTCTACCGAAAATACATTTCCTTGTTTCACCGAAAATGTTCTATTGTTGACGAAGATGATTATGATATCACCGGGAAGTCCATTATGATAAGTTTATATATTAAACCCTCGCGCCAGACACGGTTAAAAGCTTTGGCCTCATCGAGCATGAGGATTACCACGCTAAGTTTGTGTTGCGTTAACCATGAAGCCGATTATTATGGGCCAGGAAGGTTGCAGCATACTCGTATATTACACTCATGTCCATAAATTAAGGATAATTCGAAGTCACGCGGAAATCGACCTCTAAAATAAATATATCACCTGTAAAATCACTACACACATCTTCAAGAATCATATGCAAATTTAAGAAAGTAACCAGATGACACCGATGGTACGTCACAATGACGAGAGTGTAAGAGAGTAATATATAAGGAATACAGGCAAAGAAGTAAAATTGTTCGCAGGCGCTTTATAAGCATTTCAGGCAATAACCGAATAGTTATGACACAAAGGACGCATTTGGAGGATTTTTTACGTGCTAGAATTATCGGACGTCTGGCATGTAGGCGTACCCAACTGGAAGTATCAGACGAACTTGGAATTGCGCAGAGTGTCATCTCCAGGCTTTGGCAACGATTCCAAGATGATGGTAATGTGAGTAGAGGTTACAGCACAGGTCGCCCCAGAGTTACAAAGCCGAATGAGGACCGGTATTTGGCAGTTACTGCCAAAAGAAACAGGCGGATCACAGCCTCAGACCCGTCTCGTCAGCTCTCTTCAGCCACTGGTACGACAATTTCAAGGCAGACCGTGTACAGACGCTTAGGTCAGATTGGTCTATATGCTCGTAGACCTGTCAGATGCGTTCCACTTACTGCAACTCACTGTCGTCTGCGGTTAGCCTGGAGTAGAGAGCATGCATTGTGGACACCGCAACAGTGGGCTTGTGTGATGTTTTCCGACGAGTCCAGGTTTAGCTTGCAGTCTGATTCTCGCCGGACTTTCATATGGAGAGCTCCAGGTACCCGTTACCACCAAGAAAACATCATTGAACGACCCCGTTACGGTGGTGCAGGAGTGCTCGTTTGGGGTGGAATTATTCTGGGTTCCAGAACAGACCTGCATGTTCAAATTGGAACTATGACAAGCCAAATCTATCGGGACGTCATTCTGGAACAACATGTACGTTTGTTTCGGGGCGCCATGGGCGCACAATTTGTGTTTATGGATGACAACGCCCGTCCTCACCGTGCAAACATCGTAAGCGAATGCCTTCAATCGAAGGATATCACTCGTATGGACTGGCTAGCATTCTCACCGGACTTGAATCCAGTAGAGTACGTGTCAGACATGCTTGACCGACGAGTTGCAGCCCGTCAACCTCCTCCTACATGTCTACCGGAACTTCGGCGAGCATTGCTTTTTGAGTGGTGTAATATCTCCCAAGATCAGATCGATAATTTGATACTCAGCATGCCTATGCGTTGTACGGACTGTATTGCATCGTCTGGAAGACATACAATGTATTAACAATCACACAATCATGTAATATTGATTTTTTGTAAATAGGTGTTTTTTTGTAATTTGCTCCAGGGAGAAAAAATCGCTAATTTTTTTAATAATATCAAACATATAGCATCTTTTTTTGCTCTTTACCTTTTGCTTAATAAATAAGCTTTACAAAAATGTCAAATTTGTTTTGCTTCTAACTTTTCCTTTGCCTGATTTTGCATTATTCTTAATTTATGGACATGAGTGTATATTACATTATTACATTAAGCTTGTTATGTTAAGTTAAGAAGAGAGTAAGTACACTATGGGTCCAAGCAGGTAGTCTGTTTTTGGTCTAACTAATAGTAGTTTTTGACTTTCGGCGACTGTTGACCACTTGAGTATATTTAAGTATAATTTTCGGAAGACTAATCAGATCTCTTTGGAACATTTTAAATGAGTAGTGTTAGCTCCTGTTTAGAAAGAATATAGTCTGCGGCTATGAATATTACAGTTGGCTAATTTCCTAATAATATTTCAATAAATTTCATTTTAAGTCTATTTGAATGAAAAGCAATCTGCGTAGAAAAAGCCGTTGAGAGTATATTTGTGTTAAACAAGAGCGAAAGAATTTTATTGCATGGTTAAAATTTAACAGCCCATACAACAATATCTAGTATCCCTTAGACATCGTATGTTTTTCTAGAATGAGTTACAGAAAGGGTTGTTTTTCGAAACAGCAAAAACAGACAAGTTAATTAGATTAAGGAATGCTGGAATGTTCAGCAATAAACCATTTGATTTTTTTATTATTTTTCTTTTTTGATTTTTATCATTGTTACTGATTTCCATAATGTTCTCTCAAAGTGAAAACGAATGTGCCAGAAAATCTGATTCTGAAAAGTAGATAAAAGATTTGTGACTGCATTCTGCATTAATAGATTAGTACAATAAAATATATTTTGCTTAATTACAGAATAAATTTAAGATTAGAATATACATTTCCTCTTATCTCTAATGAAATCCTCACACATGTAATCAAGTATATGGTTATTTTAGGGCGATGGGGTGTGGCCTCCTGATGCTACTATGGTCACTTTCGACCTGCCCCTAGACACTGAAACGACATCTGTAGAACTGCCTTTCGCTAAAGAAGGTAGTACCGAAGAGGAAGCTCATAAAAGTAGTTTGCGATGTGTAGGGGCAGAGACACCTTTCGACGTGGCAGATATTACAGAGGAAGCTGTAGATGGCAGCAGCTCTAAAGATGCGGGTGAGTCTGTGAATTTAGAACTGAGAAAAATAATTATTATTACTTTGTTACAGTATTATTATAAATTACTAACAATTAAATTAAATCCTAACAATTAAATTCGAAGTGCTTTAAGTGAAATTTGAAAGAAGTTATCCCGTCACTGATAAATATTCTCCACCGAAACGTGAATAATTATTTAATATTTTGAATGATAACATGTTTAAATATTTATTTATAGTAAAATGAAATATCCAATTGCGAAATCTTCTTGTACGGCTTATACTAGATTATTTCAGAAGGGAAAGTAGACAGTGTTAAATAAGAATTTCAGTTAAGAAGATTATACTAAAAAACGTGGAAAAATTAGAGAATATTATAGATTATCTGTAACAGATTTTTTACAGCATTTGAAGCGTTAGTAATCAAGATATTCGTTTTTTATATTTTTATTTATTTATTTGTATTTCCCGTGGACAAAATCCTTTGAGCACTTGTGTTAAGTTTAGACTAAGGTATTAATTAGGACATTTTTATTTAGATTTAATTATTTTTATAGTACAGTACCTTCAGTATGTTAAATTGATTTGTGTGATACGCAACTTATTTTATTTTTTTCGTAATATGCGGTGTGAAACTTCATTAACTAAGACATGATTTACAGCGTAGGCTCTTACGTTAGCAGTGACATATGATATAAAGCAGGAATGATTGAAATCTATATGTCAAAAGGAATGTGCCTAATTCAATATTTTGTATACGTATCTTGAGCCAAAAAAAAAAAAAAAATGGAAAAACAAAGACTGAGTTATAATACATTGCACATGGCGTATTAATGATCGATGAAGATCCTGAACTGTTGTCAGAAGAATACTGTTCTATACAGATTTATTATGCACCCACAATGTATCTGTTCCACAGCGGATGTTGACGGGTCAACCTTATAGCAATCGTATCTCATCCATGCTCCAATAGGGAGCAAAGAAAGAGCTGGTACATAAAAGCCACAGAAAAAACATTGCACATTGTATGCTACGTGGACGGTTAAATTTCTTATGTTCATCATCCCTTTGCTCTGAACAACACCTGGGGAATACTGCACATCAGCCATTATTATTTGCAAATACTTTTCCAGATCTCACCTCTGAATACACATGTGTAGCAAGAAGTAAGGATCCTCCAATTGCGTATATCAGGTAACTTGTGATGAATAGCATTACCTAGATTTTACTATTCCTTGACTGTTATGAATATATAATACTCATAAACCACTCTCCTTCACACTCGAAGGACATAGATACAATACCGTCTTAACAGCATTTTTTGGGGGAGGGGTCTAGGACACTCAGCTGCCGACTACCATTTAGCCAATGATACGCTTAGCAGACAGGACATTTAGCCGAGACGAACAGTTAGCGATAGGATACTTAGCCGACTCGGACATTTAGACGACAGGGCATTTAACCAACGCGGACATATAGCCGACAGCACTTTTAACTGACAACACGTACATATATGGTCCCCCCCCAAAAAAAAATAATACTTCAGTAAAATTTCCCCTTATTTATCTGAAAAAAAAGCTTGTTTCCAGGATGCGAAATGAGAAGGTTTATGAATAAGTACTACATTTTTTTACTTTATTTAATGTTAAAAGAGCTACAGATTTTAAAATTATACTGAAAAGCAACCTGTTTTAGCGCAGATGTTGAAATCAATTTCGAAAATAATCAGACATAGCTCTCTGTATTTTGGTTTTGTTTTGTTTATTTGATTATGGCAAAGCACTTGAGGACTTCTAATAGGGGAGGGATGCCTTCCTGGAGGACTTTCTAAAGGAAAGTCCTCCAGGAAGGACTTTCTAAAGCCAAACTGGCTAGTAACTTGGTTACACATGGGTAAAACCACGAAACCACCCATGCAACCAGTCGGCTTGCCAGAATTCGAGCCGTTCATTGAACTATCAATATTCAGAGAATTTCCCGTTCGGTTGCTGGTGGGCCTGGGTTCTATATTTCAGAGGTGGGAAATTAAATTTCAACAGCCGGCCTGTGTGCCCTTCACGATTGCCATTATACATTACGATTTGTGACACAAATATAGGGCGATTTGGCGAAATTTTTAACTCATCGATATGGAACTGTGCTGGATAAAACACACGTCAGAAATCCGGCGATGAAACTGTGAATGAACAAGCTAAAAAGGCAACAACATAAACATCTCCAAGCTTTCAGTTGACGTCTTGGCCTTGCTTATAATAGGATATATTTATAAAGCAAACAATGAATGCAAAAGAGAAAGAAAAATGAGAGCAATCCAGCACTCGTAGACTCCTGCTAAAAAATAAGCAACAAAGACAAAACACGGAATAAAACAAAACTATTTAATGGGTATGCAGGAAATTGATCTAAAAGGTTGGTGTGACATTACTAGACTACACAGAAAACAATAAAGCAAAGACATACAAAAACACATGTAGTACGATCATCACATCGCGGAAGACCAAATCGGTCAGAAAAACATGCAATGGAAAATTCCTGCTAATAATGTGGATAACAGCCTTTAGCTGAAACGCATGCTTGACAACGGCAAAGCGAGCTGACAATAGTGTAGTTGATCGATTGTTGTGGCATTAGCACCCACCCATTCCTGTAGTATGTCTCAGCTCGTAAAGGGTGCCTGTCGACACACTGCGACCTCCTATGTTCTCCAAATATGTAATAATTTAGAAACTTCTGAAGCTGGATGTTGAAGCATAATCTAAGAAGGTTCTAGATGTGGCTTTATAAATGCGTAATATAATGAAGAAACATACAGGCGTGGCCGAATTAATATTTCCATTTTATTTATAGTTGAAGCAGATTTTTATAGCCAACAAAGTAAATTGGTGTAGTAAACGCACCAGCTCTAGAAAGTTTTATATTTTGGAAGAGAATAGGCTGCAGCAAGCTGACAGAACCGAAAGCGAAAAGCAAATGCATTATATTCGAATATGGAAAGCAAATGCATTATATTCGAATATGAAAAGAATTGAGGTTTTAGTTTACAATTTTGACTTTCAGTTCAGAATTACCTGCGTCACAAGGTTATGCAGAAGATGGAAAGGAGCAACCAAATTGAATTACAATGTTACGGTGTTATTGTAAATTAAAGTTAACATTTTGGTTTGTAGAATCATTATTGTTTTTTTTTTTTTTTAATGCGGGTGACGTGAAGCAGGAGCAATGCCCTAGCCGGCCTCTCGAATACGCGCCGAGTGTGCTACCATTACATCACGAAGGCATGCTCGAAGGAGGTAAAATACCTTATAGGTTCACATATTTTTTGTACGGTGATATGTATATTAGAAATAATTTTTAAACTTTGGCTTAACCTTTTCCTACTGCTAAGGTATATATGTCCCACACATTCACTACATTAAATTACGCTAAATAAACTTAATCCAGTATGGAGATTAAAAATTTGCTACTTAATGCTGAGCAGAAAATGGCAGAACCTGTTGATTTGTTTTTCTGTTCCTTGGTGATTGAACAGTTGACTAAATGGCTTAAATACATAAAGCAATTAGTCTCTATAATCCACGTGAAAAGGTTGAATAAGAGAAAATATTTCAGTTTTGGCACAAATTGGACTGATTAACAAGGATTTCACTTTAAAGTTCAGCGGTTTGCTCTTAATTATAAAACTGAAATGAGAACTAAGACCAAACAAGGTGGCCAAATAATATGAGCTATGGGACAAAAAGAAAGAGCATCTGTTTTTTAATCGTCATAGGAAATATAATCGCCATCATAATTCTTAGGAATCCAAGAAGTCCCTTCCCCCCTTCATTATCTTGAAAATTTAACCTAGAAAAATTTAGTTTGTCTCCAGTTAAAAGAATATTTTAGAAGTGCGAAGTGAATCATATTTGGCGTAAGTTCTGGTTAGCTACTTTTTTGTTGTATTAAATCATCTTTTGATAAATTTTAACTAATTTACCAAAATAATTAGATGCTGTAATTAAATCACCAATTACTATCAATAAATATAACAGACGCATAAAAAGTTACTTTTCGTTTAAGTAAACAATCAAATTTCGATTATTTTAGTACCCCGAATTTTATTTTGAAGCCAAATTTTTACAATTTTTTATACCTTTCTCTTCTTTACTTTCTTCTTAACTTAAGCATCTCTATTCCCGTAACAAATTAAAATATTCAACAACTTCAGACTGATTTTTGTTTAGAAATGTTAAAAGATCCCAAAGAAGAAGGTTTATAAAGTTAAAGCTTCACTTTACTTTATAACTTTATGACTTTAAACACTTAATTTTAGGTTAATGTATGTTTATTTTAAAATTTTATACTGAGCATTGATTTGACATATTAATGCATAGTTTAAGTGTACTAAAAGCAAGAAAATACTTGTTTACGTATTCTGATGCGTATAGCATTTCAGTGTATATAGTGTACGTGTGTGTGTGTGATTATGGCAAAGCCTCGAGGGCTATCTGCCTAAAGGGATGAATGCCTTCGTGGAGGACTTTCTAAGGGAAACTGGCTCGTATACACGTTACACATGGAGAAAACCACGAAAACGCCCATGCAGCCATGCTCGTTCGAGGGATTCGAACATCGGACCGAACTACCAGTGTTCAGCGACTTTACCGCTCGGCCGCTGGACTGCCCTTCAGTGTATATAGAACTAAGACTATATACACTTAAAAGACAAAGATCTGAATTTCTGCTAAAAAATGTGTTTAAAATCAAAGACTGTTACGAACGTTTTAATTCGTGTAGGTATTACTATAATTCATCTGCATAAATTAAGCTCAATATGTTAAATTTTAATATACAAGTTATGCTCTTTTTGACATAACCAATAAAACCGCTGTTCTGTGTGAAAAAGGAATTTTTTTTTAGGTCGCTAATATCGCAAAAAAATCACGCATAAAATTTGTGTCTGAATTTGTATTAAATTTCCGCATTACAATATTCTGTCAAAGTTCACTTTTACGAAACATCGGTAACTTCTAAACTGGATTGGCAAAAAAAATGTTAAACATACCAGCTTTAAAACTATCCGAAATGACTTTTAACATTGGAATTCATTTTAATGAAATTTCTTACACGTTTTGAAAGATTTCTTTTCTTTTTGTAGTCATAATCTTCTTTCTCTTTCCCTCTTTTTACTTCCTTGTACGAAGTAAAAAGGAAGTATTGTAATCGCGAAATGTTTCAGGCAGCATATTTCAACGAAAATATCCATTTTACCCGCTATCGAATGCAATTCAATGATGTTTTTGCGTGATATCTGTACGTAAGGACAGAATAAAATACTCTTTTCTTCCAAAAAAATTATAAAACTGCTTTAACATGAATTCTGAAGAGAATTTTTCGTGGCGTCTGTAGGAACGTATTTACCTAAGTTTACGTATCTCGCATAACTCAAAAACGAGTAGCCTTCAGAACGTTGAAATTTTGTATATAGGACTGCTATAACATGTAGATGTGCACCTCCGTATTTTGGTCTGCAATCGGCCGCACCAAAACGTACATAAATATGCATTTGTATATATGTTACTGTTAGCCACTCTGTTACCCGGCTCAGTGGGATCTCAGTTTCTTTACTGTTATATATTTGTATATTGTACATTTTTTGCTTTAAAAAAATGATTGAATTATGTTGTTCTTATCTTCCGGTTAAGGTTTTTATGCCCTTAGTAAATCTGTATGCAATATTTTTAGAATTATCGACAATTTTAAAGTTGTTGTTTATGTGCCGCTAAGCCTAATAATTTTTTGATGGCGGCCATTGTTTGTTTACATTTGAAATAGCACAATAGTGAATTTGTTGCCAATCTAGAGAAACTTAGCTTTGCAACAACAAAGATAACGCCTTCATTTATTATTGCGAATTAAATTATGTTTTATACTTTGTGGAATTTTTCGAGGAAATAAGTGTTTAAAATTTACTTCGTAATTTTTAATACAGATATTTTGAGTTTTTATGTATTTTTACCTTATCGCGAATTGAGAACTGAATTAATTGAATAAGAAATACTCAATCGTCTGTGAAAAACTGTTTCTTTTTTGTTTTGTTTGTTTAATTCCTTTTATACATCGTTCTAGCTTTATTATACGAGTAGTATTTGAATATATCATGTGGCAACGATTAGATAATTCTTGAAATGATATAAACTTTGTGCATTTTGAGTTATTATATGAACACGCTGCTCACGTGTTTCTGCTCTTCTAGACTCACCCTGAAGCTTAGACTTTCATTTTGCCTCTCGCCGACATTGATATAATCAACAATGATATGCAATTCATCAAAACTTATTTTATAAGTTCTCTCATTTATTGATTTCGCCTTCGGGCGCGGTGCATTTTTAAATACACCTCTTAAATTTTTAACTTTATGGCCTATGGTATAACAATAATATACTGGTAAGAGCTCCTAGTAGCTAAAGCCAGATGTAAAGATATGATCTAAGATCCAATATAATATGAACGAAATATAATACTGTTAAGTGACTCTAGCGCCAGAGTGTAGCTATGGTAAACAAATAGAGTGAATTTTAAAGAATGCATTTATTGTATTGTTGTTTATGCGGTGTCGGCGAAGTAGATTTAATACAATCTAATAAGTTTAAATGAAATGCAAGAAAAAATACATATAATTTAATATTACGTACAAGGAAATCATGTGGTGTACACATCAGAATTTTTTTTTTTTTTTTTTTTTTGTGTATACTGCATATAAAAGCGAAGTTCATCTATAATGTTCAGTAAAATACAATCACATATTAGCATTAATCATGAAGAAATGGCGGATGCTGACGGGACTTGGATTCTCCTTCAAGAGCCGACCAATGATTAACACGCTAAAATTTTAAAACAATAGTAATCTGGCTCTAGTTCCATTCTCGGTAACTGAAATGTCTGGTTGCGTAAGTTTTTTAGCAATTTCCTCATGCGCAGTATATACATGATTAGTGGCTCTTTTACATAGTTTTAAAAATATGTACCATATTTGAGATAGGACGCATGAAGTTACATGTGAACCAAAACTTTCTGTTTATAATTAATTAGAAATATTTCTATCATTTGCAGCACTTTAGAATATTCTTCTGTTAATTGAGTTATTCCGATTAAGATGGAAGCAAAATCTTTGTGTAATAATTATTCAACTCGATAATTATTCTTCCTTCTTTCAGTGCCGTAAAGGTTAGATGGCAGCAGCAGAAGTTAATCTACCATTTCTCATTTCTCACAGGTTCTCTCCGGCACTCGCCGACAGATGGCGTAACTAATGAAAATTTCGGAGCTGAGTCGGGGACTGATGTTGCTTCCCAGGAGATAATTCTGGCTACGAAACTTGCTACTGCTTCGTGTGCGGCTCCACGGATAGACCAAGATACTAGTCTTACATCGGTCACTGAAATCACTGTAAGTAAGATGTTCTAATATTAGTGAAAGCTGCATTTTATAAGAAATTATTCTATCATATCCCAAAGTTTATTTTCAATCTTAGTGCAAATTCAAAACGTGATAACAAAATGACCAGCCGCAGCATTAAGACCTGTCTGAAAGTAATTTTATACATTTTCTTTCATATATTAATAGCCAGGGAAACCATATTATGTATTTAATTTTTTCTGACAAACTGCAATGTTTTTGTTAATTTGTTTTAAATTAAAAGAAGGTATGCAAATGTAAATTTGAAAAGTAGGTCAAGAAAAAAATTTGCTTTTATTCTCTAGGACTTTGATACTTATTGTCATAGATGAATATCATATTTAACATATAATGAATTTCTTAGCTTTTTCTTAAGACGTATACATGTAAAAAAGTGTTCATATATTGTTTATGTGTATGTCACTTAAAAGTTTAAGTCTTATATTGCATTTGAGTTATTGAGTAGGAAAGCAACCATAGCATCCTCCTCCTTAGATTTATATGAGACTTTATCTCAAGTATATTTAACTATTTTTACAAGGAAAGCAACAATCCTTGTCCCAGCGATTTAATTATTTTTGGTTTAAAATGATGAAACATTACTGTGTCATTATATTCTTGTACATACGAGCTAGGCTTGCAGAATGAGGCGTATATTACTAACTTTGGTAAAACAATTTAGCTTAACTATCAGAATATATATGCAAATCGTAAGAACATTACTATACAATTCTAATGTTGCTTATTATTAAACATCTTGAAAGTAAACTCTTTGAAGCGTTTATTATTTTCATTTCATGGAATTCTGCTTTCATAGAAGAAATATTACTGCTAGGAAGAAATATACTTATTGCAATCCCTGGGCGTACTGATCCAATGAAATAAAAGCATAGCTACGTCTCTAGGAAATTAACTATTTTCTTTATTGAATAAGTGTATGAGTTTCCACATAGAGTTAATTTGAAATGAAATTATATCATGACAACCCTTTTTTCCCTATCATTTGGTTTGATATTTCTAAAAGCTTAATTTAAATTCAAGATTTTGTAGTCTCTATCTTTAATTTCTTAAAGACTTATTCGTAGACTAGCAAGCCTGTCATAACTATTTGGTTTCCTGAAAGCTACATGACAAGATCAGATTTATATCACAATTTCTTTTTAATTTTACAATACTTGTGTTTTTAATTTATAAAATGTACTTTTATTTATCTTTTTGAAACGTTAACGATAAACTGTTTGAGACATTAGACTGTTATCCGATGTTATCACATTTTATTTTATTTATTTATTTATTTAAAAGAAGAAGCTGTAAAATGACTTGTATTGAAGCACGTTTTGAAAGATTTCAATTAATTCAATGGATAAAAAACTTAAGTTTTTTTTACAAATAATAACTTTCAATTAGCAGTAATTATGTGAAAAATACTGCAGGCAATATAACAAGCACTGCATGTATTGTTGTAAGAAATTTATGAAGTAGGAGAGCACTAAATAATAAAGAGAAATGCAATAAACGTTTTTTCCATTTAAATAAGTAATATTTAATGCATATTTTTTCAAGTCTATATTAAAAAACATAACAAAATTCCTTTAAAATGATTTTATAATAATAATTAATAATTATAGTAATGATTTTAATGATGGACAGCAAATTGCTTTTTAAAAAAATAGTGGGAAAAATACTGTTCCTTCGGGATCCTTAATTTGTGAATATATTGGGCTGGCGCTAGGCGTTTTGACCCCCGGTGCAATCTTTACGTAATTCTAAATTCTACTGCCCGATGCCTTCATAAATTCTAAAAATGTTACCGTTCTTAAGCTCTGACTCTTGGGACGACTTAGTTGCACCGGCTGTCGTGCCGACCCTATGGACCTCCGATTTACAAGAGAAAACATTTACTTGAGTTTTTTAGAATAGCGATAGCCAAATAATTGCTCATAGTCATATCCGACCGATCTGCTTATTTATTCTGGTCCTTTTTTTTTTTTTTTTTTTTTTTTTTTTTTTTTTTTGTCGAACTGCTGCAGTACCAACTTTCGCTTGCATGTTGAGTGACGGATTCGTGAAGCGAAACCCCACCTCTTGAAATTTTGGGGGCTTCTTAACTTAAGACACAGAGCATATTCATTGTTTTTCAGAATTAATTTAGAGCATCTTGAGAGATGGCGCCGCTCGAGATTACAGCTTCCGCAACTCATTAATCCGCCTTCTGTATACTTGAAACTGTCAGTTTAATAACTTCAGTATGATCCATTTAGCAACACAATAAAAAAAGTGTGGAAATAATTTCTGAAAATCAGCTCCAATAGCACTTGCTATCTATATTTGATAGAGACGACCTTTTACACTAAGAAAATCATTAAATCGAAATTAGGAAATAAATTTATGAATGAAACATTGTAAAGTGTACTTAGGGTAGCTGCATCAGAAATTAAAGTGGACAACAAATTAATGTTGAGAAATTTTAATAAAATTCGCTGTTCGCATTAAATTACATGCCAGATCAATAAAGAAGTAAACTATAAAATTGAAATTTTGAATGAAAGTGTAGTAGCTGAGGAAAGTTAGAATCGGTTGTCACAGCTGTACCCTAACCTTGCAAATTCAGTGACAGGACTTAAAATAGAATACGCGATCATGGTGAAATTTATAATTTTTAAGACACAGGGATTTCAATTTATCTGTACAGAACAAGCAAAATTATAAATTTCACTGAATTTGCATGTTAGGGTCGACAATATTTATAAAAAAAAATAAAAGCCTTACCTGTATGTAAGTTCTGAATTTACTGGGTGTCGCTTAGATTTATTTTGCCATATTTGTCAGAGTACGCTTAGTACATGTGTGGGCAATTTTCGTGTGCTTGTTTAAAGTACCTTTAAAAATATTTACATAATAAATAATGGAATAAATTCTCCATTATCTGCTTGTTCTGTACTGATACATTGAACTCCCTGTGTCTTAAAAATTATAAATTTCACCAAGATCACGTATTCTATTTTAAGTCCTATCACTGAATTTGCAAGAAGCATTTTACAAAGCTAATAAAAATCATTTTTTTCATAATCAATATATTCTGTTTTTTTTATTGATATTTCTTTCATCACTTTCATTTTTATTAAATTTAATTTTTTGGATTGGGATTCTGCATTTCGTTTAGACCAAATGCTTTGAAAGAGATACTTAAATTTTGTAAACTGACAGAGCAATACAAGATAGTGTTAATTATTCTTCAATTTATCCAGACGTACATTAATCGGCTATTCAGTGGAATTAAAGAATATATATTTAAGATTTTCCAAATGGAAGTTTCAAAACGCTTAAATAAAAATTTCAGTTCAAGTTTTAATAATAAAAGCTTACTGATTTCAATTTAAAAGTATGCTTAAAAAAGATAATTCTTTGTCTCAATAATTTTATTATATTAATTAAAAAGGTAGCTAATTTCTTGATATTTTCCTGATACTCGTCTGTCTTCACTAAAAAAACTACCAGAGAGATTTCTTGTAGTGTTGTGTTGCTCAAGAAATTGCCAAGTAGAAGGAAATTTTAGTGATGAGATTTCCGAAAATTTTACTCGATTAACAAACTGATACTTCTGGCTATGAGCTCATTAACTCAAATAATCATACTTCTAATCTGGTCTTTGAATTTTTATCAGGTTATAAATAAAATCATGCAGTGTGTCCAGATGAATAAAACATTTATGCATATGAGGCTAGTTTAAGACGTGTATTGGTATCATGAACCAACTAACGGTTCCCCCCTTTTTTCTTCTGTTTCTTTCTTCCTTCGTCTGTCTGTCTCTTTTGAAACTTATGAGTACATCCTGGAAAATTATTTGCTGTATATTTCAAATCGTCTTTTTAAGCATCAATTTTGGGGATAGAGAAAAATCAAGAAAAATGTATGATTATATGTTTACGGAATTGAAAATGCAAACTGCGCAAGATAATAATACTGTGGGCAAGTAATATGCATCATAATCAACAGAGTCAACTTTTAATGATGCTATCGATAATTTTAATTTGTTCTGAAGAGGAATTTATCAAGTAAAGGGCCTATATCGCATGATCTTTAGGAAGCCTCTTATCTTAAAAAATAGAGTATGTTTTGCGACTTGCTGGACCCCATAAATTTTCGATTCCTTTGCTAAAGAGCCCACAGCGGCCGAGCGGTAAAGTCACTGAGCACTGATAGTTTGACCTGGTTCTATTGTAGGTGAACGGGTTAGTTACATGTGTGTTTTTCATGGTTTTCCTCATGTGTAACGTGGATGCAACCAGTTTCTCTTAGAACAGTGGTCGTCAACCTTTAGAACTTCACGGACCACTACATATATAATTTTATATTTGGCAGACCAGTAATCTGACTTTTAAAAAAGGTAAATACATTTAAACAACAATAATAATCAGCAAACTACACATATTTCATTAACATTGAAAAATTACATGAAAAGTACAAAATCTTACCTTCTTGTACAGAAAGCTTCACATTTCCATATCACTGAAAAGGAACTTCACGAACAGCAAGCAAACCGACAAACGCAAAGCAATATTAATAAACTGACAGTGTTATGCCGCCAATTTTTACTTCCTTGTACGAAGTTAAAAGGAAGTATTGTAATCGCGCAAAATTTCGGATATCATATTTCAACGAAAATATCGATTTTGACCGTTATCCAATGCAATTTAATAATGTTTTGAGTGACATCCGCAATTAAGGACAGAATGAAGGACTCCCCCCCCCAAAAAAAAGTTATAAAACTGATTTAAATTGAATTCTAAAGAGAATTTTTCGTGGCGTCTGTACGTATCTCGTAGAAATAAAAAACGAGCATACTCAGAACGTTGAAATTTTGTATGTAGGACTGCTATAACATGTAAATGTGCACCTCGTATTTTGGTTACAATCGGGCGCACCAAAATTATTGTTATTTTATTTTATTTTTTTTTCCCTGACACCAGTTGTTACGTTATTTTCTTCCT